ATACACTTCTTAAATAAGGCTTATGAAGAACCCCGGCAGCTCTGAAAAAGCCAAACGCTGTTTGGATGCTGCCTGTGGCAGGGGCGGGGAGGGGCGGGGCACCACCTCTGAGTGGGGCATCTTCAACGCCATGGGATTTTTGTCTTTGGGGAGTTCTTTCTCCATTTTTGGGGAACACGTTAAGCCTAAATCTGCCACCTTAAAACTTCAGTCCACTTGATCTAATTTTTTGTCTTCTTGGGGCTGCCAACGACCCACTCCCAACTGGAAACCCTTCTCTCTGCTACCTCTTGACCATCTGAGCACCTGGGGCCCGGCAGCCCTGTCTCTACTCAGAGCAAAACAGCGATTCCTTGTCCCCAAAGTCAGTGCTCAGTTTGGTTAACTTTTAAAAGGGGGGTGTGTAGCAGTGGACGCGCCCCTCCCGATGAACCTGACAGGAGTAGAACACTACCTCCCGCGATGTGCCCCACTGGGCACACCAGGCCGCATTCCACACAATCCCAGTTCGGGCCCACCTGGTCACTGAGCACAAATCACTGCTAAGCCAGGGTCCTTGGTTTCATTCTTGTGCAACTGATTTTTTTTAAACCTGGGGGTGGGGGATGAGGCTTTCTCCCATCACCTTTCATCCCCTGCTTCCAGCGGAGTATTCTAGCTGTAGAGAATGCTGAGTATTGATTCTGTCATTCGGCACATCAGCTCTCCCTAATGACTCTGTGTCATCTGCAAATTTGATAAGCGTGCTTCTGATGTCTTTATCAAGCCACTGCTTTCACCGCTCAGCAAGCCAGGGGGCAGCGGTCCACCAGAGGCCCCCTCCCGGGATGACATGGAACCATTCATGTATCCACACTCTGTGGCAACCGGTGTTCCATCAGTTGTGAGTTCACTTGCCTCCCGGAGCTCTTCCGAACCTCAGAACCAGCAGCAGCAGAACCGTACGTGAGACCTGGTGCGAGAGGGAGGAGCGGGACCTGCTTTGGTTGAAGCGGGAAGGTGCTTCCGCTACCTGCCCTCTGTCCCAAGGCAGTGGCATGGGAGAACATCAGAAAAGCCCGCATCCGCACACCCATTGTCTGCTTGTATGTACCAGGCCGAGTTGCAAAGCTGAGGCCAGTCCTCGGACAGATGGGCAGAGGGGACCGTGCCTCAACCCCAAGGCCAGTCTATGCTGCGCAGGGTGAGCAGAGCAGACAGGCAGAGGGTGGAGCAGCACGGATGCCCAGAGAGAAAACAGGGGCTCCCCACTCCTGGGGGAGGTGGCAAGCCCGTCTTGCTTGGAAATGGTCAGGAAATGTGTGCAGAGACGTACGCATGTGAGACGAAGCATCACTGGCCAAGGAAGAAGAGCTCTGCTGAGACACGTCATCCTGTCTTTTGCCGTGAACTTGACCAAACACCGAATCTGAGTCACTGGATACAGCCAAGGGGCTCCCTCACCTCTCCAGCGGCCCAACCATTCTGAAAGGACAAGCCCAGATCTGGCTTCCCAACTAGCATTCTCTGCAAAAACAGGAAGGAAACAGGCAGGAGGCACTTGTTCCTGGGGCCAGCACCTGCCTCTGGAGAGGACTGGGAGGTCCTCAGGTGATGACTCATTAACTCTGGAAAAGTCCACCAAACCAACCATACCTTTTGCCTGAAATAAGCTGGGGATAACAGCTCTCCAAAAAAACGGCACGGAATTCTTTGAAAGACGAGTAACAACATAAGCAATGGAGGTAGAGCACAGGTTTTTAGCTTTTGAGACAAAAGCCTGAGATCAAGCAAGGCAACAAGGTCTGCTACTGTCCCCTCCCTTGGTCCCTTGTAGTCCCCCCACCCAGGGATTTGCTGAGCAAAGGGCCTGCTGTCCCTTGCTGGGAACCAGCATGTTAGTCTCCTGGCCACCTCCAAATCTGGTCAGTAGAGGGCGCTGCATCACCGCACACGCTCTCTCTAGCCCCGCTGTGCCACAGGATCCGCGTCCACACAAAAGACCACACTTGAAGTATTTCTTATGCTTATGCTCTAGTCAGAAAAGGACCCAAGGAACGCTCAGAGATTAGGAGTAGTCGGGGTAGGGGGCGGGCCTGCAGCACAGGGTCCCAGGCTGTTGGAGAAGCATTTGCTGCAAAACTGAACACATGTCTGGATCTGGGCGCAGCGCTAGGAGGTAACAGGCACTGGACAGGGTTCCTGCCCTCAAGGAGTTCACAACGTGTCCACAACCCAAGGTGAAGGCATGATGGCTGAGAAGAAGCGTTGGGAGAGGAAAGACCAGCCCAGATCCAACCCCAGGGTGTTCAGGGAAGGCTTCCTGGGAGAGGAGGCTTTTAAGCCGCCATCTAAGGCACAGGATTTGAGACACACCATCGTTTGGCTGTCCACATGACCAAAGACACTGCAACATGAAAAAGCAAGGGAAGAAGAGACTACCAGTTTAATGTCTGAAGCTTAGGGGTGAGGAAGAGAAGGAGGTCACGGGAGCTGGATTTGGAAGCCTTCAGCCGATGGGCCCACTGCAGACCGCCACACAGGAAAACAAGCGTCACACACAGCTCACCACCACTGGAGAGAAAGCTATCTGATTCCTCTGTTGGGGAGAGGACAGACCCAAAGCCTCAAGGAAATAAGATGCTCATCGTTTCATAAATCTGCAGTGGAAATTTTGAGTGAAACATCAGCATTTCATTTTTTTTTTTTTAAGTCAAATGTACTGGATAGGAAAATACAAAAAGCAAAGACAACAACATCCCCTTCCCTCCATACATTAGGAGGCTCACAGAGATGTGCATGCCACCTAGAAAGGATTGACTAGCGAGAGAGGAAAGCTGGGGACAGAAGGTGGCGTTTAGCTGGAAGCATTAACATAACATTTAATTATCCTTCCGCATACCAGTGGACTTAACCCAGTGACACGGGAATGCATTTTATTTATTTATTTTTAAAGATTTTTTATTAGAGAGAGAGAGAGACAGAGATAGTGACAGAGAGCACCAGCAGGGAGGAGAGGGAGAAGCAGACTCCCCGCTGGGCAGGAAGCCCAACTCAGGACTCGATCCCAGGACCCTGAGATCATGACCTGAGATGAATGCAGACACTTAACCGACTGAGCAACCCAGGTGCCCCAGGAATACACTTTATATTGGCTATTTTGACATCTGTTTCATTTGGCAGGTAAAACAAAACTGATCCAACTTCCTTGTAGCCCTTGTAAACCACGAACTGTAGAGCAAGCGTTTTGCATAAAATATATAAACCTTATAAACCTTTTGTTCAGACGCACTACCTTCAGTTCCGCTCGGCTTCCCGTGGCCTGTGTTCTAGGGCCCTCTCACTTCAGCTGCTAGTGACTGTGCCTGTGCTCTCTTTCAGCCTGGCAAGCTTCGGGAGAGGTTGCGCTTCCTGCTTTAACTGGGAGAAGCAGTTTTCTTGATTCAATAGAAAGTTCCAGCCTGCCCGGAGGTGGGGCCCAAGCTTAGGCCCTTCCAGACCATGTGATGTCAACAGGCAGCAGCTGTAACCACTCTGGGGCTATGGGCCTGAGCCGACCCCGAGCGCAGGTGATGGGCCTGAGCCAACCCTGGACATGGGCAATGGGCCTGAGCTGACCCCCTGCACAGGTGACAGTGACCGCAGCTATGCCGATGCTCTGGGTATTGAGAAAGGACCATGAAAATGCTGACCTGAGCTGTGTTAGTCCTGTACCCCTAAACTGGAGACACGCCACTGTCACCCTAAGACCCTGAACAGCTCACCAGCTCTTGCTGGCTCTTCCTGCCAAAGCGAGACTAAAAACTGCTTGTCAAGTTCCGGTGATTCTGAGGAGTCAAGCTCAAGTATCAGTGGGTTTTTGGAACTATCGAAAGAAAGACCAGACTGTCTTTATTGGGGGGTGTCCCAAAGGACAGAGTCCCCTGAGGTCCTGGCTCATGACAGTGGCGCTCTTCTAAGGGGGGCGGACGCTCAGCTAGGGGAACAGCGCGCAGAGACCCGGTGGCCACACCGCCCGCTCCTCAGTACCTCCTCGTGTGTGGTGGGGTTTGTGGGGCCCTGGAGGTGCCCCACAGTCTGCTCCTGACAGACACTGTTCATCTCTGTTCAACCCACGTGAGAGCTTTTGGACACATTCTCGTTTATGCTACATCCCTCCCCAAACAGCACGGCCTCGCCAATTCTTGTTTTATTTACTTTTGTAATGCCTTTCTCAAATGTAATCCCTCATTGCTGTTCCTTGCCCTCAAATAATTCACTATAGTAAGGCCCAGGTTTTTGTTATTATCATTATTGAACTATAGTGGACACACATGTTATATTAGTTTCAGGTGCACAACATAGGAAATCGACAATTCTCGACCTTACGCAGTGCTCACCATGAGAAGTCAGTGCTGAGAGGTGAGTGTTCTTTTTATTTGATAGGATGCTTTTTAACCACCTGCTTTTCACAGAGACCACGACGACCTCTATTAAAACTGAAATCAGGTGACCAGTTTGCTCACCTAAGTTTCTTTGTGGAATTATTGAAACCAACACCTCCTGAAAACCTCCTCGCTCTTCTCTCATACCCAAACTACTCATTTCTTAGTTTGTAGCTCAGTGGGAAAAGAAATGATATGAACATGAACAAAATGACTTACCAGCCCTCAAAGGAGTTGTTGGCCAAGGCAGAGAAGGAATTCTCCCTTCTTATGGCCAGTGTTCCCAACAACGTGGCTACAAGTCACATGTCTGTGTGTAGCTATGAGCTCTTTAGAAGAGCAAAGCCAACTGAACGTCACATATTCTGCTATCTTAGGAGCAGAATATGTACAAGATAGAATACGGATACAAGATAGCATTCTAACTGGATCTTTAAAAAATCTTTAAAAAAAAATCTTCTCTAGCAAGTTTTTAGTTTTTGTTTGCAGTTTTTAGTAGATGCTAAGGCGAAGTGTTCAAAACGTTACATAGTGAGACTCAAGACCACATCACTGTAACATGCCTAACAGCACCAGACACCACCGATGAGGCCTCACCTGGGGAGGTTGGGGGCCGGGGTGGAAGCAGCTGATGACTGGGAAGGCGTTGTGGGTTGAGATGAGTCATGATTCCTCGGTACTTTGCCCATTCGGTACCAGATCCCCATGCTGTTCAGTTCCCTTTGGGAGAAGAGAGAAACTGTCATAGTGTGATCCAGCACAAAGCATTTACCTGAGCAACAAAGCAAACCAGCTCAGTTAAAAGAATCACAGCCTCAAATGCCTGGGAGACTGCTCTTGCCCACAAAGATCCATTCTATCACCGCTGTTTGTGGTCTGGGTGTTAGAGTTCAGAGCCTAATGTGAAGTCGACTGTCCCAACAAGTCAGGCTCTCTGACTTGCCATCTTCTTTACCTGCCCTGGAGCCAGCAGACTTCCTACTACACTATTGACATTTTCCTTGGTTCTCAGTCTTCAAAATTCTTTTGATTTTGCCACTACATTATGCATAATTCTGTAATAATCCACTTCAAGTCTTTTCTGTGGTTACGGTGAGACAGATGGGGGCAACAATGGGCAAATGGATGCATGTGCTTTTTTTTTTTTTTAAGATTTTATTTATTTGAAAGAGAGAGAGTGCATGAGCAGGAGTAAGGGGCGTAGGAAAGGGACAAGCAGACTCCCCTCTGAGCAGGGAGCCCGATGTGGGCTCTATCTCAGGAGCCCAGGATCATGACCTGAGCTGAAGACAGATCCTTAAGGACTGAGCCACCCAAGTGCCCCCCTGTGCCAGGCTTTTTCCCTATGACGGGAATTAGCGCTACCCTGCTCAAGGACACGTCCCAACTTCTGGATAAACTCCTACGGCCTGGATGTCACCTGCATTTGGCCTCATTTGCAGGGGCAGCTGGTGAGACCTCTTCAAATCACAAAGCCTGAGGCATGTGCCCCATGAACCACTACAAACAAGAGCGGCCACAAAAGGACTCAATAGATGCCACATCGGGTCTCCTGTTCCCTGATGTGCCACCCCACCCGGTTAGGAGTGTTTATGAGACAGGTTTGGTCTTAGGAACTGGAACGGGATTATTTTAGCCACATCCAACTTAAAACTTCTCAACTGCCCCCATGGAACTGCATTTCGTCAAATGATGAGGGCAGATTTATTCAGTGGAGACGTCTGGTAACTTCTCAGTACACTTCAGGAACTATTCTAAACCATGATCACGGCTCATCAGATGGCTGATTCCATCTCACCTCAGCGATGGCCCCGTGGTCCCAGCCTCAGAGGGGCTATTCTCAGCCTGAGGATTGTCTCCCCCAGCCAACAACTCTGAACTCTTGCAGAGTAATGTATATGCTCATTTTCAAGAAAAAGGTGACTCAGAGTTCTGGACACTGTCCTTTTTCATTCCTTAAAAATACTGGAATTGTCTTCTTCTGAAAAGGAATTTTTTGCCCTGAGAGGATACAAAATATGCTTTATTTAGCTATCTTTTCAAAATGATATGAGAGAAAGAAGGTTCTAGTTTTGATTATCAAGACTTATGGTAACAATCTATTCTTTAGAATTGTTTAAACTGATTAAAAATTGAGTCTTTTAAAGGACTATAGCTTGTAATTAAAAATACACAGTGACGAAATTAGACTTTAAAAATTCATTATTAGATTGTTGGTTTCTACTATTTATATGTAAATGGCTGCTTCTAGGTACCTGAAGTACAGTCATTCTCTTAACTGTTTCCTCCTCCTGTAATGTTCTTTATATAATTAGTTTAAACCATGTTGCAAAACAGGACTTCGGAGTGTGGAGGGAGGGGATCACAGAATCCTGAGACGGAGCACTCAGATTCCACAGCCAAATGGTCTAAAGGAACTATCGTGCCCCAGGATGAAAACCATCTGTTCCCGTGACACCTGCTCCCAGGACCTCCATGCAAACACCACACCTCTGGGCCATCACCCACGGCAAAAGGCCCATGGAGAAAGGCCCAGTTTGTAGAGTGAAGACCTAGGTTCAAGTGAACAAGAAGCAAAACAGAGCACAACCCAGATCCAGAGGCCACTGTGAAAGCCAAGGAGGGGAGCACACCCATGGGGACAAGTGGGGGGTACCTGCAGAGCTGGCCAGGGAGAAAGGGATGCCAAAAACCATCTAGGGGACTCATTAGTTTGAGAGACCTGAGTTTCAGTTCCAGTTGAGAGACTCAACATCCAGTTAACTGAATGTAATGAGTATCTCTAATCTTCTGGTCATCCAGCATCCACTCACCCCTCTTTCTGACTCTGCCTTCTTCCTTCCATATTTGGGGGGGCAGTCAACCCCTCAGTCCTAGCCTCTGGGTTCCAATGGAGCCAATCCCATTTCTAGCTCAGTTCTGGTTTCTCAGACAATGCACAGGACTTCAGTGAGATCAATCAAGATCAGTTAGACTGAATTCTAGAACCCGTTTGAATTATCAAGAACACAGACTTGCTCTTTGCCTCAGAAACTGAACCTGAAGGAAAAGTAGGCAGAACTCCCACACCACCACTAGTCGGCTCATCAAGGGAGAACATGTAAAAGAATGGGATCCACCCTATGGAATCAGAGCAAGGAGGTAAACAGGGGGAAACCAGATCCTAGTGATGTCCTCTGAGCACCTACCTCAAGCCACACCTGAAGCCATCCTGACCCTGAACTCTGCTGTTAGGCCAGCCAATGAATTCTTCCTTTTGCTTGAGCCAGCCTGGGTTGTGTTTCCGGTCACTTACAAGAGTCCAGAGTGAAATCCTGAGATTCCCTGTATTTCGTATTTACAAAACAGCTACAGAGCTGGGCCCATGCCTAGTACTGGGGCTACTGGGTAAACAAGACACAGTGGGCCTAGCCCTCAGTTGCCCCCTGCTTCTCAGGGAAGATGAACATCAGACTGAAGGGTGCACAAGGAATTATCACGTAGTCATAGGAGACTCATGTTTCTTCCTGACTCAGACCCTCCAGCGACTCTCCAGTGTGCCTGGGATAAAATCCAAACTGCCTCTGTTGTTGTATGAGGTCCTGCTAACTGCTCACCCCAACGCCCGACTCAGCCTTGCTCACCCACGTCAGCTACACTGCGCCGCTTTCTGCTCCTGAACACGCCACACCCATTCCCATCTTTACACTTTTTCTTCTCATGAGCCTAAAAGGCTCTGCCTTCAGATTTCTGCATGGCTGGCTTCTTCTCGGCATTTGCATCTCTGTCCCATGTCACCACCCCCCACCTCCCCGGCACCTCGCTGAAGCAGCCTCCATTCACTGCTGTGTTTTATTTTTGCCACTAACTGAAATGGTCTCACTCATTTATTTCTTGTTTGTTGCTTGTCTCCCCTCTTAGAATACTGATTCCAAGAGAGCTGGTCTCTGCTGGCTCCTTGACCATCACATCTGGGGTCTTTGGCCCAGGGGTACAAACGGGTGTTCCTCAAACCCTAGTGGGGATCAAGAAGCAATGCAGAGACTGGAGGCCGAGCGGGCAAAAAGGAGAGGACACCTGGACTTTCAGGTATGCGGCAAGGCCCCTGAGGAGCCTGAAGGACGAACACACAGAAGGACAAGGGAAGGAAAGGCCCTTCGCAGGAGCGAGCTTCATGCGCAAAGGCACAGAGAGGTCAAGAGCTCGGTGTCTGGACTGGCAGCAGCATTAGCGGGAAGGGCAGCGATGAGAGCTCAGGCCAGAGAGGCAGGTGGCCCAGAGCCCCGTGGGTCACACAGTCTCATCCCAGGGAGTGACCTGAGCTCTCTCGTCAAGAGAGAAGAGATGACATCCGTGTGACTAAGACTTACCCGATAAATGTGTACTGAGGAGGGGCCTGCTTGGTCCGGCCCATGATCCGAATGTCACAGATAGCGGCTTCAGTTGAATCCCGTGGGATAAATTTAATGCACAGCCTCTTTTTTCTAAAAGCCAATTCCTCTGAAGAAAAGGACAACAAGAAAAGGTGTGAGTTGTCCAGAGATGCCAGCATCTCTATCCCGAATGTCTCCTGTCATGTCCCCTTCTTGGCGGCAGGAGCGACTAGCCAACTTAGTCGCTGGGCTGCGCCCCTCCTGCCCTCCACAGGGTGCCCAGGCCGTGACTACAGAGTGGGCACCAGTTGCCCCGCTCCTGCATTTGGGACCTGACCCCAGTCCCCCCTGCCAGGAAGGGCTCCCAGGGGCATGCAGAGCCAGAAAAAACCCATGAGGCTGGCTTCCGAAGCCCATACCCACGGTCTGTTCACCGCTCACGCCATCAGGGACAGACACACAGACACCCTGAGTATTAACACTTTATGCCACGTGGACTTTTCTTTTTTACTTTTTATTACAGAGATTTTCACACATTCCCCAAAGTGGGGAGAACAACAGAGTGAACCCACTTGTTCCCCTCATCTAGTTTCAACATTGTGGACAGCAGACAAGCTGCTCGCTGGCAAGTTTTGCCAGAGGATTTAAATGAATCCCCACACCATGTCATGTCACCCACCAATGTCTCAGTAAGCATTCACGGCCGACAGTCTGTTTGAACGTGACCAGCAGGCTGCAATCACACCCAAGTGAATGAACAATGACATCGCCCAGTAGAAAGTCTACATTCAAGTTTCCTCCATTGTCTCCAAAATACCATTTAACTATGGCTTTGCCTCGATCAAGATCGAAATGACATCTATGCCCCGGATCTGGATGGTAGGCCTGTTAGGTCCTTTTTCCTCTGTAACAAACTCTCTATCCTCCCCTTTCCTTCAGGTCACCAGAACATTGTTGAAATTGGGTCATTATCCTGTATTTCCTGTGAACTGGCAGTTGGAGCAAAAGACTTGATTAGATGCAGGTTAGATTATTTCTTTTAGGTAGGAAGGCTTCACAGGCGGTGCAGAGATGTCCAGTGGCGTCCTGTCATGAGGCACAGCGTCCAGCTCTTTCACCCTGCAGGGGTTCTGGTGGGGTCGGCCTGGTAACGTGGGCTGTGAAGTCCCCAGGGACCATTCTTTGGGCAGTGTTTTCATCCCCTGATGACCACTGCCTAGATCCATACTCTCATTAAAATTTTCAAAATGGTGATTTTAAAAAATTTAATTTTTAAAATTTCTTTTGTGTTCCAGAATTCATTGTTTATGCACCACACCCAGTGCTACATGCAATACATGCCCTCCATAATACCCACCACCAGGCTCACCCAACTTCCCACCCCCGACCCCTCCAAAACCCTCAGATTGTTTTTCAGAGTCCATAGTCTCTCATGGTTCATCTCCCCCTCCAATTTCCCTCAACTCCCTTCTCCTCTCCATCTCCCCATGTCCTCCGTGTTATTCCTTATGCTCCACAAATAAGCAAAACCATATGATAATTGACTCTCTCTGCTTGACTTATTTCACTCAGCATAATCTCTTCCAGTCCCGTCCATGTTGATACAAAAGTTGGGTATTCATCCTTTCTGATGGAGGCATAATACTCCATAGTATATATGGACCACATCTTCTTTATCCATTCGTCCATTGAAGGGCATCTTGGCTCTTTCCACAGTTTGGCGACTATGGTCATTGCTGCTATGAACATTGGGGTACAGATGGCCCTTTTTTCACTATATCTGAATCCTTGAGGTAAATACCCAGTAGTGCAATTGCAGGGTCATAGGGAAGCTCTATTTTTAATTTTTAAGGAACCTCCACACTGTTTTCCAAAGTGGCTGCACCAACTTGCATTCCCACCAACAGTGTAAGAGGGTTTCCCTTTCTCCACATCCTCTCCAACACACAATATTCTAATTCTGTGATTCCTTCTGGAATTTATTAGCAGGAATTCTTCTATGTAAACAGTAACTTTTCTTCTTCAACTACTTGGTCTCCCTGATAAAGCTTTGGTACCAGAAAGGAAAGATAGATACGTGATTCTTTGCTCTTACTTAGTAAGTCTTAAAGCAATGAGCTGGTGATTTAGCGAACTCCAATGCTGACCAACCAGGTGTTTTGTTGTTGTTGTTGTTGTTCATTTGTGGTTTTTAAATATGAATTCCAATCAATTCCAATCCACTGGATGCATGAGTCAGGTGTACCTGGGTTGAAGTCCCAACTCTGCCAACAGTTCTACGATCTTAGGCAAGTGACTTAACTTCTCTGAGCCTAGGTTTCATTGTCTGTAACAGGGACTTACTAAAACCCTACCCCAAAGGGACATCAGGTGGATGAAATGTGATCACACATCATATGCTTCTCCTAGCCAAGTTCCTGGCACATAGTAAGTGCTCAATAGGGCATAGCCATGAATGCTCTTATCATCATAATTACCAGTAAGCCTCCAGTGCACAATTTATGTCAGCGTTTGGCATTGACTTTCAAGACCTTTCACTTCTGGGGCAGGAAGTAAGCACACTCAAATCAGACACCGAACTGGGAGGGAAGGACAGTCACGGCACTGGTCTTGGCTTGACCAAAGGGAGATTACCGTCAGTGGTGGTGTCTTATCACTGACTGAGGGGAGGGTGTTTTTTAAAGAGCCAGGTAGAATCTCAGAAACTTGGTGGGTTCTTTTCCCAGGCAAGGAAACTGAGGGCTAGATCAGATTTATGAGCTATGACTAATAATGTCCTGAATCCAGACCCTAGACTTTGTATCCTATGAGACAGGGACGGTATCCTGGGGGGAAACATCCATACCAACAGTGCACCTTCAAAAATATGAGCTGGTAAGATCAGACTTGGGAAAGTATGAAGAAGGTGAGACCTCCCCTCATAGAAATGGAAACAGGTCTCTTACTTGCTTTTGCCATGCTGCTCTTTGCTCTTTTCCTCTGTCTACAGCAACTCGGGGTAGAAGGAGCCACTAATTACACATGCTTAAACAGGCCTAATTTTAAGTAAACATATTATACAGAGTCAATAGAAATGTGTTCAGTCATGCTAATGAACACACAGAAAGGATACAACACTTTACTAAAACAAACAGTCTTCGAGTGTTTAAGTACTGTGTGGATAGCAACAAACTATTTTAAATTCATTATAAGAGTCTCATCTTCTTGGCTGACTTTATAAAATCGGGGCCTTAAGGCACGGAGGCTGCACAGAGCTGACCACGTGTTCATCTGGTCAGCCTGGCTTACCCTCCCCACTGGGGACGGGCTCCAGGAAATGACCATACAACCTGAAATGAACGGGCGGCCCTAAACCCACCCTCCTTGTGTGATAAGATGCTTATGGGTGATGCCAGGACCTGCCCTCAGAATGTCCACGGGGAACAACGATCATGGGGAAGAGCCTTCCCATCCAGGATCACTGGGGCCCCAACACAACCAGACCACAGGCCCAGGCAGGAGGCCTTGGGCCTCCTCCCTTAACTGATTCAACAAATTAAGAGGAAAATGCAGAATGGGGAATCCCCTGTGGCTCTAGAGTCTATCAATATGAAGATATTATAAGTCAATTAGTTGTCAAAAATGAACACCAATGCAAATTTTGAAACTAAGAAAAGCACGAGGGAGAAGTGAGAAATTAATACAAGTCTACGAGTCAATTTTGGTTCCCAGGCAGACAAGTCATATAAGAGTAAGCAAAGGCAGCAAGCAAACACTTGCGAAAATGTTCAGTCTTGCTAATAAATGATGACATGAAAATTAAATAAAATTAGAATAGTAAAACTGAATAAAAATTTAAAACCTATGCTGGCAGGCCTGTGGAAAACAGGCACAAGCCTGTATCATTAGTGGCATCGTGAACTGGTATTTCTGGAAGTTAATTTGGCAAGAGAGAATAATAAAGCTTATCTTTATGGAGCCCATCCTCTGAGCAAGGCACCGTGTGTGGTAGGTGTCTCTGGTGATTCACAAATGAATTAAACACAGATCTCGTCCTCAAAGAGAAAGGTAAGTAGTGAGGATGTCCAGAAAACACGGAAGTGGCTAAAACGTAAGCTGAAAGCAACACTGGGAGGTAGATACCAATCCCCCCATTTTACAGATAGGGAAACTGAGGCCCCAGAAGGTGAAGTCATTCACTTGGGGCACTAAAGCTGTGAGTGGCAAAGCCAGACTCAATCTTAGGTGAGTCTGACTGAGGAGTCCAAGTGCTTCTCCCCTGCCCCCCTCCAGGCCAAGCTTCAATGTATCCCGTCAGAGTTGGGGTGGGAAGTGAGAGACAGAATCTATTACTTCCTTTGGCTTCTGGCCACTGTGACCTGTGGTGCTTCCCTCCCTCCCTCCTTCCCCTGAATGTGTGCTGTGCCGGGTGTGAGGGAAAGCAGCAAAGAAGGCACAGTCCCTGATCTCTGACTGATGAGAGAGAGCTCTGATTATGTTGTGAGGCAACTCCTTGTTTGCAGGACTGAGTCACCCACCAGACTAAGCCCCTGGAGGGAAAGGCTGGCATCTCAGTCAATCGCCTTCTCTCGCAAAGCCTGAGGTGCCTGCACGAGGCATTCATCAATCCCCACGGACTGTTAACGAGAGAGAGGGCTTGCTGGAAACTGGTAGCTGGGGGTCAGAGACAGTTTCACGCAGAGGGCAGAATTAAAGCTCACCCTTGAAAGATATGAAGTGTGGACACTCAGAGTTGAGGGAAAGGTCTTTTCAGACAGGGGAAAAAACAACAAAGCAAATAAGTAGAGTCAGGAAAGAAACAGGGTGAAGAGTGCACAGTGAGTGCCTCAGTTTGGGTAAAGAAGGGGATACTTGAAGATGAGGAAGACATTTGTAGAGGAAGGCTGGAGCCGACTGTAGAGGACCTAAGACCCAGCAGCCTCCAGTACTTAGAAACACATCACAAGAAAATCCTTCAAGATCGATACACACCTAAACTGGTTTATAGATTCGACACCAAATCCTATCTAAATCCCAGCTAGCTGCTTTGCTGAAATGGACTAAGCCTAAGGTTCAGATGGAATTCAACGGACCCAGACTAGCCAAAATAATCTTGAAAAAGAAGAATGAGGGTGGAAGACTCATACTTCCTGGTGTCAAAACTTGCCACAAAGCTAGTCATCAAGACTGTGTGCTACTGGCATGAGGAAAGACACGCAGATCAATGGAAGAGAAATCAGAGTCCGGAAACAAACTCACATCTATGGTCAGCTGATTTCCAACAAGGATGCCAAGACAATTCCACGGGGGAGAGAATAGTCTTTTTAACACATGGCGCTGGAACAACATGACCGTCATATGCGAAAGAAGAAAGGTGATCCCTACCTCACACCACATGCAGAAGTGAACTCAAAATGGAGCAAAGATGTAACTGTAAGAACGAACACTATAAAGCCCTTAGGAAATAAAACAAACCATGGGCATAAGTCTTGGTGACCTTGAATTAAGCAATGCTTTCTTAGGTATGACACCAAAAACACATGCAACAAAGGAAAAGCGTAAATGAGCGGAACTCCGTCAAAATAAAAAGCTCGCATATTTCGAAGCACATCAAATGAAAAGAAAACCCACGGAAAGGAAGACAATTTTGCGAACCATATAATTGAGAAAGGGCTTATATCTAGAATATGTTCAAATATTTATAACTCAATAATAAAAAAGACAACCCAATTTAAAATGCCAGAGGATCAGAATAGACATTTCTCTGCAGAAGATATACAAACGGCCAGCAAGCACACAAAACTCTGCTCAACACCATTAACCATCAGGAAATGCAAGTCAAAACCACGAGGGACCACTTCATGCCCAGTAAGACAGACAGAACAGTAACAAGTGTCAGCGGAGATGCGACTCACTGGCGCCCTCACACACTGTGGGTGGGTATGTAAAATGGTGTGGCTCCTTTGAAAAATGGTCTGGCAGCTCCTCTAGAAGGTAAATAGTTACCATAAGACTCTGGCAGTTCCACTCCTAGGTCTGGCCCCACGAGCAATGAAAACACACGTCCCCACAAAAGCCCGAAGGTGAACGTTCACAGCAGCACTAGTCACAACAGCCCGAAGTGGAGGCAACCCAAATGTCCTCCAGCTGAGTGGACAAGCAAGACGCAGGAGTGCGTACAACAGACTCTGACTTGGCAATAGCGAGGCATGAAGTACTGACCCACACCACAACAGAGACCTGCCTTGAAAACGTTATGCCTTGTGAAAGAAGCCCATCACGAGAGACCACATGCTGGAGGATTCCATTTGCATGGAATGTCCAGAATAGGCAAGTCTGTAGGGAAAGGAGTTCAGTGGTTGTCCAGGGCTGGGAAGGGGTAGATAGGGGAGGGTTAGAGAGAAATGGGGAGTGACGGCCAATGGGTGTAGGGTTCTTGAGGGGTGGGTGTGTGATGAAATGTTCTAAAATATCAATTGTGGTAATAGTCACACAACTCTGTGAATACCTTAAAAACCACTGAATTGTATACCTCGAATGGGTAAATTAATGGTATGTGAATTATATCTCAATAGAACTGTTACCAACCACACCTGATGCATAAATACATCAAATCTAACTGTAAAAGGCACTTAACCACATGCCATGACAGGGCTGCGTGGAGGTTAATGCTAGGGCTAGAGTCAGACTCCCGTGTGTCCTCTTTCGACGCCCCCGCTTCCAGATGCGTGACTGTGGATAAGTTCTTCAAGCAGTTACTGTGTCCCACTTTCTTCACATGGGATGGGTATAACAACCCCCATCTCCAAACGGGGGGCCTCTGGAGAGCCAGTGACATCAGGTACGTAAAGCATTTACCACAGGCTTAGCGTCTGGTACGTCACCTACCACGTATCAGCTAGCACGAGTAGTAGCTAATACATAGGATAACAAGTAAAAGCACAATGTCCAAAAGTGAGAGGACTATGAAGAAAATAAAAACATGCAATACAACGGACTCAGCTTGTCTCGTGAAAATAACGGCTGTGCGGCTTCTGTGTAGTTACACCCAGTCTGGTCTGTATGAAATGTTAGAGAGAAAACAGCGGATTATGGGTCCAAAATGGGGCTAACCATGGAAACACAAGGTATGCGTGACAGAGAATGAGATACAGGATTTCTTAAATGAATCATGCGTAATAAAGGAAGGATTCCTTGTCTTTGTTTTTCACATACTGCTTCACTGCTGGCGCCATCCTAAAACTGGTGACGGTAATTAAAAATAAAACAAGTTAAGTTAAATCAGAATGAGGAGGCTCAAATATCCAGAGGTTTTCTGGCATGATTTCAGAGCCGACAGGCATGACAAGATCCCTCCAGGATCCTGAAGAAGCTTCGGCTGGTCAGTGATTTTGCTTCTGCTTGCCATGGTTCAGGGTCAGAGCAGTCACTCAAATTCGAGCCTGTGTCCTCTAAGGCGCAGTCTTCCTGGTTCTGGCTTTTCTTGTGTGCTCCATGAGCCAAAAATAAGGACATTATTGTACTTATATTCCTTGGACGTCTTTGATTTTTTTTTTTCTTTTGTTTGTGGGTCTTGTGCTAAGCTTGGCTTCCGCGACACCAGAGGACGGGCCGAGTGGGGACGGCAACCAGTCTCACCAGTCGGTTCCTGAGAGAGCAGAGTCAGCAGGGAGCCCGTTCTAAGAGAAAAGGACATTCTGCTCATTTACATGCTCCTTCCCACAGCGCCGCAAACTCCTTAGAGAACCAAGTCAGGCACACGCACGAGCAGGAGGGTTTAGTCACGGGCGTGCAGCAAGGCCCCTTAAAATGTTCCCGAAGAAAAATGCACATACAAACCATCTAAAAATACACCTGGAGGAAGAAAAGTCCCATTGTGATGAGTGGTACCAAAGGGAGACTCACGTGTGTCCATCGTCTCCTGAATTGGGATGAAGCCTACGGGCAGAGTGTCCTTGATGTCAATGAGCTTCATATCCACTAACACGTTCCCTAAATGACTCTTGGGAAGAAAGAAAAGAGATACAGACTATTAATCTGAACAGCCCTGTGGTGGGTTTGCCATTTTGGCTTCGAGATGCATATTTAACACAATGACTCATGCAGCTTTACGACAGCAGGTTAATTAGAGTAGGTGCCACTTAATGTTCCCCAGCGGCTACGCGGGGACTCGGGGGGCCCCCGGGAAGGAGCTTCATCTGCTGCACCTCCACGCCACTCACTCAGACATGGCTCTGGTTAGCTAGACGGCGACCTGGGAGACGCTCGAGACAGAACCCAGCAGAGGGCAGCTGTGCGTGCGTCCTGGGACCAGGCTGCCACTCGACCTGCAGCATGGGCTGCACATTCCCGGGGCAGTCACTGCGGCCGGAGAGAGCACGCAAAGCCTCCCCGAGAACCAGTCATGCTCCTAGGTGATTGCCCATCTGCGTACTGACACACCTTTCAGTTGCTAGATACGATTCTGTAAAATCCTAGGAATTGTCAACTCATACAGACCGGAAAGCCCTGCTGCCTCCATATCACACACCTACTAAAATGACATGCACAAGGGCCTCTTACAGTCTCTACTTAGTGGTAGCATAGGGGGTCCACAGCGCGAGCGTTCTGTAACCAGTGCAAAAATATCTTTTGTAGACAGCACGCACCATTGTGTAATTGTACAACAGCAACCTCTGCAAACACACTGGCATTTGCAGCCCACGGTTCTGGTTGAAATGCTCTGTGCCAACACTAGCCTGGATGGCTGATCAGGGACTTGTGACCCTCTGAACTCTACACTATTGTCTCTCTTGGCTGCTCTCTCTTTTCTTCCCTACCGATTGGTAATGGCCCATGTGTGAGGTTCTTTCTTCACTATCTGTCGCCCCATGACAATTTAAGGGCCACAAGGACCAAAACTGTCTGTTGCTACTCAACCCCCAAGCTTAGCACACTTCTCGGCATACATGCTCGATTATTACCTACCTCAATTATTACCTACTAAAATATACCTACTGAATAGTGTAACATTTTGGGGGTACATTTTCAACTGGGTGGGCCAGAGCTGGAAATCAAATTGGATTTGCTTAGATGACAAACCTCAACTATAACAATAAAAATGGAAGTATACTTCATGAATACATTATAAACCCGAAAGCGCACAAATGAAATAAATTCTTCAAACTTCACTACAAAGGTCACTGTGTCAAATGTCAACTGTGACCGGGCTTTTATGGCCCTGTTGTCACAAACCCGTTTCTTTCTCTCATATCTCTCGTGTTTGACGACTATTTTCTATTATTGCATTTCAGGTAGCTTGGTCTCAGGGAAACAATGCACATGGCTCAGAGCTGCAGGTGGAAAGTGGAACCTTACTAATGCAGAATAAATCTCTGACCGTGTAGAAGAGGTTTGAACCGTTAACCTAACTTGAAAACATCAGCTGCTTTCAGAATTGCCAGATCTAATCTATCATAATTTTTTTCTTTCCTGGCAGTTGCTTTTCCATGTCATCGCTGCTTTCTGCATTGAGAAATTAACAACTGGGTATGTTTTCCTGCCCCGTAGATGGATGGGCATTCATCAATATCCTTCTCAAATGTCTTCTACTTGACAAGTTGGGTTTTACACAAGTCAACTGCAAACCACTTAGCGACCTCACCCTCCACACTCTACAAATGTCCCTGATCATAAAACCAGAACATCAGTGGTGTGGCCATTAAAAAAAAAAAAAAAAAAAGGCATCGAGAACCCTCCCACGCATACAAAACGGGACGCTGCACTGTCCAAGCTTCCCGCAGCCCAAGTGCAGTCCCTTTGCACACGGGGCTGCTGCTCTACTGGGTTTAATACGGTGGGTCTGCGACATCATTAATTTTGCTTGTTCCTCTCCCCTCCCCCATCCCGTGCTCTCTTTCATTTCCTCCTCATAAATATGAAGAACGTATTCCCAATCCTTGTTGAGCAAATGATTCATGCCAAAAGCCCAATATGCACTGACTCAGGGTATTTATACTGTCTCTGGTAGCCAGTATTTGCTAGTATACTGTAATTATTTCTGACAACCTTGCATTTAAGGTAGCCACAGATAACCAACTTAATATTCAAATGTTCATAAATCCTTCTGTTTAATATCCTCCCTACCTAATCTATGTACATTATTATTACAGGTAATGCGGAAAGTACAGGGCATGAAAAGTGCAATTAATCTCGATCCTTCCCCAGGAAGCAATGTCACTCCAAAGCCAGGTTTCTGTATTAATAGCATCACTGGGGGAAAGGAATTTAGGTTCCAAAGGAGTGTCCCCCAACTCCTACACTGGGAGTCTCGAGCTGCCTAATTAAGAATCTGTCCAGTCTTGAGATCCCACATCCCTCCTCTACAGTTGTAAAAATATGCGCTATGCAAAGTCCTGTTTGTGACAGCAGGGCCGGGACAGACCGGCTGTAGTAGATTAAAATATGCCCGTTCCTACCGTGCTCCTGGGCTGGCAAGTGGGTCCCTGCCACCTCCCTGAATGGATCCCTCTGGGTCTCACTAAAGGACTCAGTCTTTCTTCTTCTGAAAACAGAATGCACCGACTTTCTGTCCTCCTTCAGAGGGGAGGCAGAGACCTCCCCCACCGCCCTCATCCTCCTCCCCCGGCCCTTCCCCGCACCTGCCCCACCACACCCCGCCCGCTCGGGGTAAGGCTTACAAATGAGCATTCAACACCATCTCTTTCTGTTCAACAAACGCCGATGAACTCGATACACTTTCTACAATATGTTTATGCAGGACCCCCCGAATTAGCAAGTACTGGTGACTTCTGTCATTTTTAGACTTGTCACTGCCCCCAACTCCAAGGGTCAGGACTCTCTTGGCCTAGACTACCAACACCCCCAGCTTTCAGGGGAAATGCAAAACAAATCTCCCAAACACAAAACAAAACAAAAAACCAAAAAAAACCCAGAAATCAAAAACAATCAAAGGGATCGTGGCTGTCCTGTGAGGCCACAGTCGGGAACTGCAGCTTCAGGCAGGAGAGGTGGGCCTGGGCAGAGATCAGTAACGAATGCCAATGCCGTGAGACCACTGGGCACAGTGAGTTGTTCAAATCCTTGGGATTTCGTCCTGGCTTCCCTGAGCGGCAGGGAAGGCACTGACCTGTGCAGCGGGCAGCCAGCAGACAGAACAGAGGTGACGAAAGCTAAAAATATCAACAGTTTCAAAAACAGGTTTGGGTCAACTCCCGGGACAAAGGGGCATGAGAGTGCCCTGCGTGTGGGTATGGATGCAGGGGAGGAGGAATGGAGCAATGAGGGGGGCGGGGCGGGAACTACCCCTAACTCCTCAAGCCCCCAGCTGGAAAGGCAACCCGGCTTCCAGACTGTTCCGCAGCGTCTCCTCGGGCTGCACAATGAGCCCCAGGGACCTGCTCAGGCTCATTACAGGCTCAGCAGCCACCTTCTCGCCTATATGAGAAGGATTTCTAGTGTTTAGTGCGAGGACTGTCCCTGCCCCATTAGAAACTCTGTACTTTACAGCAAGCATATATTACTCTCATAATTAGGGGGGAAATTAAAGCAATGACTTCTCCCCCAGTCCTGAATACATTAGGAATAATTTTCCTAACAAAGACTTATCAGTAAACAACAGGAACGGCTGGCGGAAGAGAGTCCAAGCCAGAGGACCACGTGACTGTCTGCATCCAGACAACACTGATGGGCCACACAAGGGCCCTGGGATAACCATGGGCTGTGTCATACGTGATGGGGATGAAAACTTACTGTTCCCCTTTCACACTTCTGAATGAGGATGTCTGAAAATTTTTTTTCTTTTTAAACCATGAGGATATATCACTGGCATAATAAAATTTGTAAAAATAAAATAACAAAAACATTCTTCCGGCCATTTTTTTTTTTTTTTTTTGCATTAGAAAGAGCCAATAACATTTAGGCCCAAAATAATATGTCACCCCTGAAAATGAAAAGCTGACTGCTCTGTGTTTGGGGCTAGGGAAGACAGGTGACCTTGGATAAGCACAAAAACTCTCTGATCTCAGGAAAGGAGCTAATACTTCCAAGAGATTGTCTGAGGATGGGAGAGGCTTATTCACAGAGTGCCTAGGACAGGCCTCCTTCCCAGTCGATCTGTGCAAATCCTCATGAAAGCTACTTCCCTTTTTTTCTAAGCCGCTCGTGAAAACATTCTGTTGGAAAAGCCTCAATAGATAGCTTTAGAATGTCCTAATTTATGGGCCCAAGAGTTCAGAACGGCCTACTGAAAGAAACCTGCACACGTGCCGATACCTACCTGCGGAAACAATGAAATGTCAAACGTCACAGAGACTCAGGGAGAAAGTCAGTCATTTTGGAAACAAGGCCATGTCTGGGGAAAGAAGGGATCATGGAGCATCCTTCCAGCTCTGCTTCTGCGTGCTGGCCAGCTTTAAATCCAGCCACGCCGGCAAATGCTCACGTCCACACCACCCTGTGATTTGTGACTTACAGGAAGGCTAGGCAAATGAGGGCCGGGGGAGAAATTTCCTGGTTCCCTTTTGAGAACACATTTTAATGGAATTCACTGTACACTGGAGTACGAGGTTAATAATACTGTTAATAAATGAAACACAGTGAGAGCTGCTGATTCTACCCAGTTCGCTAAAACCACAGATTAATATGGCAAGGAAAATAAACCACAACAACAACCACAAAAAAAAAAAAAAAGAAAAGAAAGAAAAAGAAAAAGAAAGAGGAAATTTCAACCAGGCAAGTAAATGCCTTGTGCTCACGCAGCAAATGGATGCCACTGCTAGACTTACATTTTCTTTGGAAAATGATCTCGTGAAACACAGGTATCTGGTAACCTTGGATTTAAATAAGCCGTCTTTCCAGAGGTCAGCATCCACACCATCTGCTGTCTGTGCGACCTGCACCGGGGAGACAGAAGAAGAGCGCAGGTAAGGCAGGCTGGGACCGAAGGTGGACGCGGGAAGCTTCTCCGTACCTGCGCCAATTAACATCGGGCCTAACTCTCCTGGCATCTCATTAGTTCATTTCGCCAGACCCCGGGAAGAGACTTTCCGAAAGGGGAAAAGGGAGAGTGTGAAAAATACAACTTCTAAAAATATTGTCCCCAGGGAAGCCGTTGATTAAAGACACCCTGACAAAAACGGTTCTAATGAGAAAAGAGCAACTTTTGTTGCAATGGACCAAGGAGGGATTGGAGAAGTCAGCACATTAAGTTGCTCATTACCACTTACTCGGGGGACGGGAGAGGGGGCAGAAAAAGGTCCAACGGGGTGTGAAATGCCACCTGAGAGGGGCGCCGCCTGCGGGGAGCTGCCTGCTCCAGGACTCTGGGGCCAGCCGGGGTGCTTGTTCCGTGGGACCCTGGTGGGGACCCTGGGCAGGGTGCCAGGGAAACTCGCTCCTCGCTGTGTCTTCTCCCTACAAGCTCTGTGAGGGGTACTCAAGGTCGGAAACTGTCTCATGATAGAAAAATAAAAAAGATTCAGCTCCTTGTTTATAGTCTCACTAAGAAACCATTTTCCTGTGCGCGGCTAGAGAAGTGTTCCTCTCAGGAGCACCCAAGCATGAAGCCAGCCTTGATTTGAGTCTTAAAGGACCTGTGTACTGGGCTGGGGGCAGGGGGCCTCGCACGAAGGCCCCTGCTTTGGGTCTAAGAGTGGGCAAGGAGACTGGAGAGCAAGCTGGAAGAGGGCAGCACTGCCCCCATCTCCTTCCACACAGCTCTCTTCCCGGCCTGTCAGGCACGCTCTTCTTTTTCACACAGCAGCCCAACGGGACGGCACTACCGGCCCAGAGTCTGTCGCTGGCACCCCCAGGGGGCATAGCCAGGAAGATGGAGGGAGCAGCACCCCGTTTCTGCTCTCTGCTGTCTCCCCGGTTGTCCTGTTGAAGTTTAGAATTTGGGATGCAATCCTTGATCTGACAAACTGCTGAAAGCACCTCCATGCTTTGCACGGAAACTGCCTCCATTGAGCCCCAGCCCATATACACGCGCCACAGCACGCCAGTGGCCTCAGGCTGTCACGTGTGCAGGAGGATGGGGGTGTGCTGGGCTGCGACGCTGCCTGGACATCCCCGGGGCCACCATAGCCATGTTCTCTGAGGTTGCCTCAGAGAGGCCCAAAGGCCAACTGGCAAAAGAAAAATGCTTTTTTCTCCCCACTCCAAACAGAACAATTGTAAATTAGCAAATGCAGCACTAGAAAAAGAAAGGTCCTTATGCTACATTTGCAAATATGTTTGACCTGAAACCTGGAGGAGGAATGGTATGGGGATAATCTCGGGGACCACTGGCTCCAAGTATGTCACCCTCACGGAAAGACATGACACAGAATGGCATCAGGCCTCATCAGCACTTTCCCCCACAAATGTCCTCCATCGAGTTTCTTGGAAAACATGAGATTTCAGGCAGTGGCACTAACTCTGCCACCAAGGATCCTCTTTGTCAATTTTCTCCTGTGGATTCCAAGTTTTGAAAGATTTTTTTGTCTCCCCAGGTGTCCTTTTCCTGTACTTCCTCAATTTTAGGCTGCAGTCATTTGGGAATCATCCATGGATTTCAAGAATAACGCTTCAGGAAAAAAGAACAGAATGTCAAAAGGTATAGATCTATTTCAAGATGCATTCCAATTTCAGAGCCATTAAGATGTGAAAATAAAAGATACTACAGGAATAAAGAAATAAGGGAACTTATATGGTTTCTCTAATAATAAATATTTTATTTTTGATAAATTAAAAAAAAGAGTCTGCAGAACACTGGAAGGCTATGGAATCCCACACTGGGACCTCAGAAGACAGAGCTCTCTTTAACCTCCCACCAGAAAAGGAATGGAGTTCAGAAGGGCTCTCGGGGATATCTGGGAATTCCACTGGGGGGGTAGGTGTGCCCTAGGTCAAGACTATTGTTTCCAGGGCTTGAGAATGGTGGTTCCCTCCGCTTTCCCCACTGCCTGAATTTTCTTTTTTCTGGGTGAGAAGACACCTCACTGTGATAAAGAGGCCAGGGCAAGCGTGTAAAGAGAAAAAGCTCGCAGCAGGCCTGCCCCTTCCTCAGAGGCCCAGGCAGTGGCAGTCCTCCAGCTCGCACTGGCACTGGCGGAGCAATAAAAATGGACCACAAGGGCCTGGCTTTGCCCTGAGGCCACAACTCATTTGCAGTGAAGTAGAAACGTGTAACCCCCTCCAAGCTCACCTCTGAGGGGAGGTGAGGAGGGTGGTGAGAAAGAGCCTGAGCAAGCACAACCTCATGCCCGCACGTGCGCACGCGTGTGTGTGCGTGTGTGTGTGTGTAGAACGCAGAGCTTCCCAAAGCCTGGACCCACACAGGGGATGGACTGGAGAGAGGAGTAAGAAGGCCCGGGGTCCCAGATCAACAGGAGCACTAGAGAAGTGTGCCTGGTGTAACAAAACCGGGCATTCCCAGCCTTGCCTTCCCCAGAACACCCAGAAACTTCTTTCCCACCCAGTCATAGAAAGGTGATTACTAATCTTAATTCTTCCCATCCCAAATTAGATGAGCTAATGATCTCCAAGTTAAGCTGTGTATGAGACAGGTGCCTGCACCGGCCTCCATGCAGAAATTCACATCTCCACTCTGACCATGAGACCCCAGAGGCCAGCCTCTGAATCCGGGATAGGAGAGGCCATGGGGAGGGGGGCTGAGGGCTGCAGGAAGTGGTGCTCTATAACAGCCCATAAAATTAAGAGGTAGACTTGAACTTGACACCTGGTGGCTGAAGCAAGCCCCTCCTCCTGGGGGCACTTTGGTTAGGGATGATGTACACACAAAGCGTCTACCTTAGTGGACCAGGGAGCACCCACAAAGCCCGGATCACGTGTCTGAACTAGAAATGAAGACATCTATTCAAACCAAACCTTCAAAATGATGTCATGCTACATCAAGATTCAAAAAGTCCTAAACTGTCACACTGGGGTTCAGCTGGTCCTCTGGGAGTCCTTCTCCAACTCTGGAATATTATCTGGTTTTCAAACACAAATTATATGCATGTGCAATGAATGTTTACCTGCCCCCTGCTATCCTGCCCCTGGACTAGAAGCTTCACAAGGAAAATTCCTTATCTTTTCCCTTCAGTAAGCACAGCGCCTGATACATATGGGCTCGATCAAAGGAATGAAAGATTCGGCCACTAAATCAGGAGCAAACTGTGAAAAGCTATACACCTTGATAGCGCCCCAAGTAAGGTAACCTAAAAAATTATTTTTAAATATTTTATTTTTTTATTTATTTGAGAGAGAGGGGCGGGGAGGGAAGGAGCAGAAACTGAGGGACAAGCAGACGCCACACCGAGCACAGAGACCAACACGGGGCTTCATCTGACGACCCTGAGATCATGACCTGAGCCAAAATCAAGAGTCAGATGCTTAACTGACTGAGCCATCCAGGCATCCTGGTAATCAAACATTTTAAAAGGAAGTTTCCAGAATCTAATCCCTTGAGCTGAGTGTATCCCCTTCAGAATCCCCGCTCTGTGAGGCCACACATCCATTTCGACAAGGAGGTCCCTTAGTCTTCTGGTCATCTTGCTGGTACCCTGCCCTGCTCCCCAAATCACTGGAGCGTGTCCAGTGCTGCCACGGTGCCTCCAGAGGATCTGTTACGGGGCTTCACACGCACACATGCGCACACGAGCACACACCCCACAGCTTCAAACACACTCTTATTACACACTCACACGCACACACACTCATGCTTCTCTCTTACACGCACTCACTCTCGCATGCCCACCGTCTTCCCAGCATCTCCCTGGGGCCTCGAGCTGCTTCTGGGGAGGAGTAGGTGGGCAGTGACAGACTGAATGCATGGGTTTGTCTCCATTCTCTGCCAATATGTGTCTCAAATGACAGCCGTGTGCGGAAGGTATGAGCCCCCAAAATAAAGAGCAAGAGAAGAGTGTGATGCCAGAGAGATGCCAACAACCGCCTGGAGACGTGGACGGTGAAAGGCTGGGCTTTAGCGAGTGGAGGGGGTGACATCTCAGGTCCGGGAGGGGCTAATGATCTGCCCCCCAACCCCTGGGCCCCAGAGCCACCAGATTCCACTGGGGTGAGGGTGGGGGTCGTGGGGTGTGTGTGTGTGTGTGTGAGTTTCCAGCTGAAACAGGAAGATCTGAACAAGGTCTAGAAATACAGCAGTTACACTCCCAGATCCCCATCCCCCACTTCAGGTGTGTTTTCTCCAGAAATGGAACCAGTAAGGCTCAGGGCTCCAGAACACCAGGAAGAAGAAGATTCCAGACTGAAAACAGGGGGGTAACCACGCACACTGAATGGTGGGCCCTCCCCCTCCCCTACCTCTACCTGCTACCACCAGGCTTATCCTCCTTCCTGCTGCAGGCACCTCAGCAGCCAGGTGTATTCCCTAAACGCTGGATATGGAAGGATTTGTCTCTGGAGTCACTAAAGACTACCAGAGAGCAGCGGATCAGCACACCCAGGCTCCGAGGTCTCCTGCTACAAAAGCTGCTTCCCAGCTCCCTCACCCTGGGAGCCGCCCACCAACCCACAGCCCCCAGCCCCACTCCCGGCCCTCCAACCACACCGACTAGTGTCTCCCTCTTAAATATAAATGGACAACAAAGGATCACCAGGTGCTGGGGTAAGTCTCCAATATGAAAGACAGAGTCCACACCAGAACGGGCACTTGAAGGTAGCACAGATAGCATGAGGAAACAGTTAAAGTTAAGGGACAAACGACCAAGCCCATAATGCACGTAACTGCAGCCACCAAACAAGAACGGAATATTGTGAAAAAATTCAAAGAGTCAATTTAAGAATAATATAAAGAGCCTAGAAGTAAAAATGTTATAGATAAAATGAAAATTTTTAAAAAATACTGGAGGGGAACATTGAGGAACTCTTTTAGAAAGTAAAATACAAA